GGCTCCGTGGTAGAGCACCTGCCTAGAATGCCCCAGTGAGGGGCTGGGTGTGGCTCAGGAGATCACTTCTCTAGCATGTGTAAGGCCCTGGGTTCTATCTCAAGCACCTCAAAGAAGACAAAAACAGAAAGGAGACCTACTAGTTAGGCTGAGGGCCAGCCAGCCAGTCACTAGGTGAGGTCAGAGTCACAGCCTTGTCTTCACCATTTGCACCTTTTGCCATCAAAGGGTTGGTGCTTGCTTGGGAAGGTGCCACCTTGACCACCACTACCACACATTTACCTGAGTTGGGCTGCAGGCCTGCTGGCTCCTCTGCCTCCTCTTCATCCTTGGCAGCCTCCCCACTGCTCTCCTGGTTGTCTTTCCCTGAAGGACCCCATTCTGTATGAGGCATGTCAGTCCTGGGCAGGACCGTCCACCCACCCTCCTGTCTCTGGCAGCCTTTCTCAGTTCTACCTGACACCAGGGGCTCAGTACAGAGATGTCGTGGAAAGCACCGGGTGACTCAGATCCTGAGGTGCCATATGCACGTGCAGAACCTCAGCTGAACTCCCACATCGAATGTGACCCAAGTCCCGGGCAGTCTCCTTGCTCCCCCTCATCAATGCCAGTCCCAGGGAGCCACGGCTGCAGCTAAGGCAGGGGCCACAGGCACCTCCACAGAGCAGCGGAACCCATGCGCCAGTGGACGGCTCGTGAGGAGAGATGCCCCACAGTGGGGGCCCACAGGGACTGCACCTCAGTGTGGGCAGTCTGTCTGTGCCCTGGGCCTGATTACTATGTGGATGTGTGCACGCCTGCAGAAGGCAGGGTTAGTTTTAGGTTGTCATTTCTCAGGTGCTGTTCATTTCGTCTTTTTTTTTTGGGGGGGGGATTGAGACAGAGTTTCTCTGTGTAGCCTTGGCTGTCCTGGACTTGCTTTGTAGACTTACTTTGAACTTAACAGCAGTCCCCCTTCGACTACCAACCTGAGTGCTGGGATTATAGGCCCACGCCATCATGCCTGGCTAATAATTACCTTATTTTTATTTTTATGTGCATTGGTGTTTTTGCCTGCATGTATATGTTTGAGGGTGTCAGATTACGGAGTTACTGACAGTTGTGACCTGCCATGTGGGTGCTGGGAATTGAACTCAGGTCCTCTGAAAGAGCAGACAGTGCTCTTAACCACTGAGCCATGTCTCCAGGACCCCTGTCTTTTTCTTTTTCTTTTTCTTTTTGAGATCGGGTCTCTCACTGGCTAGAAACTTGATGATCTGGCTAAACTGGCTGGCCAGTGAGCCCCAGGGACCTTCCTGCCTCTGCCTCTCCAGTGCTGACATTACAAGCATGCATCACCGTGCTGGGAACCTTTTCAGTGTGGGGCCTGGGAATTGAACTTAGTTCCTTCTGTTTGCCTTGCAGGCACTTTACCAACTGAACTAGCCTTGGGCTTCTTTGTCCATGTTTGTTACTGAGGATGCTTTCTGGTTATTTTTATTTTATTTGTTCGAGACAGGGTTTCTCTGTGTAGCCCTGGCTGTCCTGAAACTCCCTCCCTCAACTCCCGGGCTGGCCTCGAACTCAGAGATCCACCTGCCTCTCTGCCTCCAAGTGCGGGGATGAAGGTGTGCTCCAGCACCGCTTAGCTTGTTGAGCCTCACACATCCGATGATGTGTTCTACCACTAGGTTACAGCCCCACCCAGCTTTGAAGCCTCAATGGAGCAGAAATGGGAGCATTAGCAATGTTGCCCTGGACAAGCAGTCGGGAGAAACCCTGACCCAAGGGCCCTGAAAAGACAAAAGCAGGCAGTCTTCGGCTACACAGCTTGCGGGTGCCCATGGATGCCACTGCCATCGCTGATACAGGGTACTGTCAAGCTCCAGCTGCGCTGGAGGAGAGTGAGTCTTGGGTCTTAGCGCTTAGGTACGAACTTCGTCTGAGGCAGCTGACACTGGGACAGGCCCATTGCCTTACTCAGCCTTCTTTTGGCTTAGCCCTTGGAGGGCCACCTTCCCCCTTGTGGCAGAACCCAGCTGAATGAAATTACCAGGAGAAGCTGCGAGGGAGGGTGGGGAGGTGGGTTCCCAGCACATGGCTGCCACAGCTTCCCTCTGAGACGCGGCGGCTAGTCCTCTGCAGCAGTTGGCACTGGAAGACAGAAAGCTCTGGCTGAGCCAGGGGCTGGAGAACTCAGCCCGCCCTGGCCTGCCTGCCACAGCGCTCCGACCCACGGGGCAGCAAGTGCTCCTGCACGTGAAATGCTGTGCAGATGTGCCTAGGGCTCTGCCACTGCTGGCCCTGAGAGTCTGTGCCCTTGGTTCAGGGCCTCAAGGTCCCTCGGAGCTCAGGGTGCTCTGTCTTAATTGTGTGTCTCTTAGGCTGGCTGCAAACTCCCTCTGTAGCCCAGACTACTCTGGAACTCACCCACCACATAGCTCAGGCTAGATGAGAACTTTGTATGTAGCCCAGGCTGATCTCACTCATGATCCTGCTTCCTCAGCTTCCTGAGTGCTGGGATTCCAGGCGTGCACCGCTGCGCCAAGCTGCGTTTTTCCCGAAGCCCTCAGTGCCCACCTACCTAACAGCCTGTTTCACAGGCGTCCACACACCTACTTGCCTTCCCCCATCATGGAGACCCATTCTAGGAAGGTCTTAGACAACACAAGGGGCCACACAACACCTGCAATGACACAACTACGTCCCAAAAGGCCTAGCAGTTGCTATGGTGAACTAACTCCAGGCCATGGCTCACACAGCAGGTGCCATAACCACACACTGTTCTACTGGAGTTCTACTGGAGTCCTGCTTGGCTCCAAAACGGGTGTCCCCCACCCCCGACATATCATAGCACAGAAGTGCATGTGACCCCACTCACATGAACCTGGCCTGGGCCAGGTATCCCCGGAGGATGGACTGGATGGCAGTGATGGCCTCCTGCTGTACTGGATTGTCTTCTGCCAGGGAGCCAGGGCTTGGGATATGGGGTGTGGGAGAGCTCTGCAGCTAACGACAACAGGAGAGAGTGCTGTCTGCGGCCACCCTGAGGGCTCCAAATGCAGCAAGCTGGGCCAGGAGGGGAGGGGCTTCCAGTTGCACCCCACAGCGCATCAACCTCTGCGGTCACTGAGGTGTGCTAGCGTGGGACTTCAGCCCAGGAGAGGCAGGGGCCACTGCTGGGCTGTCCGCACCACTGCACAGGTGGAGCAATAGGCTCAGCTGCCCAGCCAGGAAGGCAAGTGGGTGGTAGAGGGCTGGAGAGTCTTCTGTTGAGGAAGAGTAGGAGGGGCTGAGCAGCTAGCTAGCTATCCAGATGGTTACCTGGTTGGGAAGGCTGGGGGCGCTCGGCACGCTGGGAGACCCAGAGTCTGGAGCTTTGCTGCGTACCAGCTTCGACCGAGCTAGGTGTCCCCTGAAGGCCGCCTGGAGCACAGTTGCTGCCTGGCCAAAAAGGAGGGAAGGACTCAGTTTCTGGACAATGGTACTGGGTGGGGATTAAAGGGGACTGGAGGAAATAACTCTTGCTGCTATGTAACCTCAGGGGCAAGTCACAGTGCCTCTCCCTCTGCCTCCTCCAAACCCCACGCTGCTGCACGTGCCTGCCCCACAGGGACAGAAAGGCACACGCTGGCTGCCCTAGCAAACCAACCCCGGAATAGTCGGACCAGCGGCTGAGCACAGTTACACTAGCTGCTATCATTAGCTCATACTTTACACATTGTTTTGGCTTTTTGAGGCAGGGTCTTTCTACAGCTCCAAAGACCTCAAACCTCCTGCTTCTGGCCCAAGTGCCAGGATTGCAGATGTGTGCCCATGTCTGCCCTCTAGACTTCACGTGCTGGTACATCTTCCACAGGGGGTTGATCTGTTTTATCTACTTCCTTTCAAATACATCCTTCACAGTCAAAAATGCTACAAGCAAGATATTTTTCTGTTTTTAAGTGTTGGTGTCTGAACCTAGGGCCTCGTGCATGCTGGATAAGCACTCTACCTGAGCCACAGTCCCTCACTGGGGGATGCTAGACAGATGCTCTACTACTGAGCCACACCCCAGCCCCTCACTGGGGGATTCTAGGCAGGGGCTCTACTGCTAAGCCATGCTTGCAGCCTTCCCTGTATTTTTATTTTGAGACATGGTTTTGCTACATTGTCCAGGCGGGTCCTGAACTTGTTTGTAATTCTTCTTTTTCCAGCTTTAGTCTTAGGTAGCTGAGATAGTAGGCCTGTACTGTCAAGCCCTCCTCGTGACTTCTTCCTGCCCAGATGTTTATTCTTGCTCTGCAGCATGCCAGTTGGATTAACTTACCTGGGGCTACCCCTCAGCCTGGACACTGTCCAGCTGTTAGGTGTTGCAACAGATAGCCAGGGCCAGAGGTCAGCCTACAGCTAGGGCTGGATGTCTCTGGCCTCAGTTACTGCCCTTCACTTTGGCTCACTGATCATTGTGTATAAGGGGTCGTGGCTGAGGGGCTTAGGAAATGGCTCAGTGGTAGAGCCCCTGCCTAGAATCCTCCAGTGAGGGGCTAGAGTGTGGCTCAGTGGTAGAGCCCCTGCCTAGAATCCCCCAGTGAGGGGCTGGGTGTGGCTCCTAGCATGCAGGAGGCCCCAGTAATAGATACCAGTGTCTTATTCCAATCTCGGTCACAGGAACCCGTGTCTCCTTCCTGCCTGCTCTCCTTTGGGGATAACCCTGCTGTCCTTCCCCGTATGGCCCATGGGGATACCTGTGCTACAAGATGGCAGCTGCAGTACTCAAGACACCTAAGTTCTCTGTGTTTTACAGTATGTGTGTCCTGGCATCTGTGGCTGAGCACGAGAAATTGCTTAACACAGAACCGAAAACGGGAATGGAGGAAAGGGTGTGTGGTGAATTCTAAAAATGTAACATTCAGGTGTCATTTCATGGTTCTGTTACTAGTGTGTCTGAGTTTGAATTCATTTCTTGAAAGCCAGGACTTAAGAAAATGCCTTTAAATACAGCCCCTTGGCTGGGCTGAAGAGATGGCTCGGAAGGTTAAGAGCACTTGCTTTGCAAACCTAGAGACCCAAATTTGAATCCACAGCTCACGAGGTGTAGATACAGCAGTAGGCAGCCTCGGGTTCGTGGTGGGCCCTGCCTCAGTGGAGGACCCTGAAGGTGACAGAGCAGGCTCCACCTTCTTCTGACCTCTACCACATGGGCAGAGGAACCCTACACAAGGCATACACGTTACCTCCACTGCCCCCAGGACTTCTGGTTACCTTACACCACAGTAAAAGTAGGTGTCTTTTTTAAAGATTTATTTATTTATTACGTATACAGTAGTCTGCCTGCATGGGTGCCTGCAGGTCAGAAGAGGGCGCCAGACCTCATTACGGATGGCTGTGGTTGCTGGGAATTGAACTGAGGACCTCTTGAAGAGCAACCAGTGCTCTCAACCTCTGAGCCACTTCTCCAGTCCCAAAAGCAGGTGTTTTGAAATTGGAGAAATTGACCTGGCTTACCTCATCCAAAGCTGCTTTTCTTTTCTGAAATAAGGAAATCGAGAAATGAATTAATGTGAGCAGAGTGAGAACCCAGGGGCGGTTCCCCGTCCTCAAGGTGTCCTCATCAGTACATGCTGGTTAACCTTTACGGCAACGGGACCAGGTGTACATCCACCAAGGAAGCATACCTTTGGGTGTGTCTGGGAGAGGCTTTTTGGATTGAGCTAACTAGGTGGTGGCATGCTACGGCAAAGGTCCTGCACGGACAGGAGGACGGACATGAACACAAGCAGGCCTCTCCCTCTGCCTCACACTCCTGGTGCCATGGCACGGCAGACACCCACCGTGAGCCCAGATCAACCTTTCCGTCCTTAGAGTTGCCGCCAGCTGGCAGACTTGACACATGAAGAAAAGCAGCTGCCGGCGTACACGGGCTGTGCAGTGATGGCTGTGTGACCTGTGTTCACGTTTCCGGTGAGCTGTGAGAGTGCGCGCCCCCACTCTCCCCCTCACCTGCGCTACTGCAGTTTCTACTCCTCCAACAAGGGCTGAAGAGCGGCACCAGTAGGCAGGTGGCTTCTAAGATGCTAATGACAAGACCCAGGTATGGCACAGAGTGGCCTGGGAACCTTCTTTCGACAGAAATCAGTGAGACAACAGCCACAAAAGCCACGGCAGAGGGGCTCTTGTGACCTTATCTGGAGCAATTTGAACATTCAATGATTGCAACTAACTTTTTAAAATGTTCAATAAATAAAAGAATCTGAGCCCATGAAGGATCAAGGGCAGGAGAGAGGGACTCCTGTGTTCTGCTGGGGGCGGGGTCATCTAAACTGGTATCTACCTAAAAAAAAGCCTTGCTGTCTCCTCAGGGCACCTGGACCCATTCAGTGCTGAGCAAATGCTGCTTACACCAAGAAAACCGATAAAATATGGAACCGGAAGCACAGTCCTGTGGCCATCCCAGAGAGCCAAGGCCTGGCCACTAGACTGGCACTAGTTTGTTTTAGTGGTTTAGGCTGACCTTGAACTACTGGTCCTCTTTGGTACTTCATATACAGGCGCGCACCCCTCTGTTTCCCGTGGGGACAACGCCAGCAGGACCCCCCCTTCTGGGAGCCTTTCCCGCTGGTAGTGTGGTGTTGGGGGCAAAGCACTGAGCTGGGTGTGCTAAACACAGCAGGGAACGGAGCACACCAACACCAAATGCTTTCTGCAGCCGGACACGGACCAGAACTCTCACCTTGTGTCTGTGGGCCTTCCACCGGGCCTGCAGGGTCCTGATGGCGGCCTCTCTCCTCTCTTCGGGGGACGGAGTGGGGAGCCAGGAGCCACCCCTGTCGCTGGCACTGTCATGGAAGTCGGGCTCATTGTCGGAGACTGGCCTGGAGGGCCCGCTGCAGGGTGAGGGAGCATGGAGCTCTGGGTCGGCCTGAAGGAAATGAAAGGGGCCCGGCTTCTAAAGAGATGCCAGCAGCCGGCAGCCGACAGGATATTAACCAGGATATTACCCCGCAGGGCAGGCCTCACGCATCAGACAGCAGACTTAATGAAACCAAGTCTGAGCCCAGAGCGGCGGCGGTCTTTTTGGGGGGCTGTTCTTAAAGATTAATGCGGTATGATAAAAGCAGGATTGGGGAAACTGAAGTGGAGATACTTCCGGTGTGGTTTTTTGGTACGAAAAGGTAGGAAACTGTACGCCAGTGGCTTCAAGGTAGCAAGTGCCCTTGAAATCTGCCACCTACCCGGGCTCTTCTCAATAAAATTAAAGTTACTGGGATATTTTTCCTCAGATCAGAGGGCAGGTTCAAGGCTGGGGAGCTGGCTCCGTCAGTAACGTGCTAGCCACACCAGCATAAGTCTGACCCTTAGCACCCAGGTACAAAGCCAGGCGTGGTGCCATGTGCTTGCAGTCTCAGCGCTGAGGAGGCAGAGCCAGGCGGGTCTCTGGGGCTCGCTGGCAGCCAGCCCTGCCGGCGCACACTAACAGCAGGAGCAGTGGAGAAGCATGCTGCTGCGCACAGCCTTCCCAGCCACTGAGATGTGTACATCCGGCAGGTGGCTGCCGCCACAACCATGCCAGTCAGCATCAAACCCGACACCTTCATTTGCCCTACTTTAAGGAGTTTCGACATGTGTGCCCTGCCTGGCCCTGGACAGATAGGGTAGACCCAGCACGAGAAAGGTGCTCCTGTGTGCTCCTGTGAGGGAGGTCTTGCAGGCAGCTCACAGGCCCAGCCACAGGCTGCCCACCTCTTCTGTGTACCTGTCACCCACCAAGACTATCTTTTCTTCTCAGTCACCTAGGGCCAGGTACCCAGCACCTAGGATGCCCTGTGGATCAGAGGTCACAACTGTTCAAACCAGCTGACTTTCTGCTGAGCCATGTGCTCTTCATGTCCTGTTCTGCTCAGGCTGAAGGCCCTGGCTCTGTGTGCGACAGCTTCCTGCATAAACTCATTCAGTTAGTCTATGTGTTGTGTGTGTAGGTTTGTGTACCTGTTTGCTCATGGAGCCCTGGGGAGAATGTCAGGTGTCCTGCTCTATCACTCTCTGCTTTAGTCTCTCAAGGAAGAGAAATAATCCCTCACTAAATCTGCATCGAGGCTGGTAGCCAGCAAGCCCTGGTTTTCCTCCTCTTGCCGTCTCCAGTGTGTCTTCACGTGTGTACAGCAAGAGTGCTTTTACCTACTGAGTCATCTCCCTAGAGCCCCAGACCCCAAGGCTGGCCTTTAACTCTCCATCCTCCTGCCTCTGCCTCCCAAGTGTTGGGCTCATAGTCCTACACCACCATGTCTGGCTCACGGGGCTTATTTACTGCATCTATTTAGCTGCATCTCATCAGGCCCTCCTAGCAAAGAGTGGACACAGGAGGTAAGCTCCCAAAGGACTAGTTTGCACCTGTGCTTATGTCAGAAGCCCTCACATGGGACAGGTTAGCAAGAGGGTGCATTCTAGCTCCTGGATATGCAGATGGCAATAGCCTGGACGACAAGGACCAGAGGGCCTCTCACTGACCTTTGGAGGTAGAAAATACCCAGGTGACCTTTACAAGCCTTGCCTGACAGCAAGTCCCAAGATTTCTATGAAAAACAAAAGCAAAAACAAAGGAAAGGCCTGAAGGCATAAATCTATAATCCCAGCATTCAAGAAGCTGAGGCAGGAGTGTCCTAAGTTCAAGGCCAGCCTAGGCAACTAGGTAAGAGCTTGTCTCAAAATAAAACATAGTAAGAAGGCCAGGAATATAGTTTGGTGGCAGAGCACCTGCCTAGAATCCCCCAGTGAGGCACTGGGGTGTGGCTCAGTGGTAGAGCTCCTACCTAGTACATATGAAGCCCTGAGTTCTATCCAGTCAAACAAAACCAACAAAATAAACATGGGGAGGAACACTGAGGGTGCAGTAGGACGCCTGCCCAGGCAGCATGTTCTAGAACCCTTCCTTTCTGGTATTCTTGCCTCCTCAGAGCTGCATCTACCACATCCAAACTGTCTAAGACGAAAGGCCAGCCCAAGGCTTCTACACACACCACCCAGGTTACAGAGATCATTAGGGCAGGTGACAGATGGTGGATCATGGAGAGGCTGCATGTGAAGACAATGGTGACAAGCCCTGTTATGCCTAAAGTCTAGGGAACAACACAGCCACAGGGTACCTCATGAGTCTCTGCCACGGAAGAATATCTCTCTTCTACTGGTACGGAAGAATCTCTGTCTTGTCTCTTAGCTTCTTCCAGCTCGATCGCTAAGAATGAATTTCTCTCTTGTCTCTTAGCTTCTTCCAGTTCTTGACATTTGTTGGTGAGGGCTTCAACTTTCTCTCTGAAGTGCAAAGAGAAAAGATGACACCTTAGTCGTCACCAGTCACACAGCGGCACGGGCTAGGCTGCATAGGGACAGACTGTGGGACTACAGGCTACAGTCCTGGGATGGCCACCAGGAACACCACTTCAGGGGCATTCTGAGTTGTCCCATGTGTTCTGAGAGCCTCTGAGGGCAGGGCTGAGGAAGCTAGGCCCCACACCATTCCTGAAATATCATCAGAGTTGGAAAAGGGGGATGGGATGTGGGTCTGTGGAAGAGCGCTTGCCTATGGGAAGCTCTGGGGTCCATCTCCAGTAGGTCAGAAAACAGCGAGGAAGAAAACACTGGTAAGCCTAGCACTTGGGTGGTCGAGGCAGGAAGGGTAAGATGTTCAAGGTCATTCTTGGCTACATAACAAGTTCAGAGCCAGAGTCCAATAAATGAAACCCTGTCACAGGCTGGAGAGATGGCTCAGAGGTTAGAGCACTGGCTGTTCTTCCAAAGGTCCTGAATTCAATTCCCGACAACTACACGGTGGCTCACAACCATCAATAACGAAATCTGGTGCCCTCTACTAGTGTGCAGGCCTACATGAAACCCTGTCACAAACAAACACAAGACGTCCTGGTGTGGGGCACACTTGTGATCCTAGCAAATGTGGTTCTGACAACTGAAAGGCTGAAGCCAAAAACTGCAAATTGAAACCAGTCTGCACAACACAGGGAGATCCTTGGCCAAACAAAATCAGACCAAGTCAAAAGATGAAAATGCTACTTCACAGTCCGCGTACTTACCTCAAAGCCTGCTCTCGCTCCTGCCTCTCCTTCTCGCTTTCCCTGATCATCTCCAGCTCCTTCTCCAAGCAGACCTTGGCCTGTAGCAGCTGCTTCATCTCTAGGCTGAAAGACAAAAGCAGAGACATTGCCATGGTCACGAGACCCAAGGCTAAGCTAACACCAGCTGAAAGACGCTTTGTGGACCACACAGCCCTGCTTCCTTCCTTCAGTAGCAGATCTAGACAGGCCCTTGGCTCTAATGACAGTGCCCGGGCATCCCTGAGGGGGAGGACTGTGCTGTAGGCTCCTTGTGTAGGACTGTCACAGGATAGGGTCAACAGAAACAAAAGCAGATATGATCCTAGCCTGAGATGGAGGCCTCAAGACACTTAAGTGACACAGCACCTTCCTCAGCGCAGTGTCTGAGCCCATGCAGGACCTGCTTTGCTCTGGTCATGGAGCCCTGGGCAGGTGCTGCACCAAGCTATGGGTGGCACCATGCCATGTCCTCAGCCCTGCCACTTACTGCTCGTGACCCCGCTTCTCCAGGCCCTGCTAATCTCCACATTAAGTGAGCTCCCCCTTGGGTGTGCAGCAGGGCAGCTGTCACACAAAGGCTCTGTGGTGGTAGCTATCCCGTCTCCTCATGGGAACTGCAGCCCCCACACCCGTGTTAAAACATGAAGAAAACCTGACAAGGATTTGTTTTATTTTGTGTGTGTGTTTCTCCTCACATAAGACGGCACCACGTACAAGGTTGGGAGAAGGTGCCAGATGCCCTGAGTTATGGATGGCGGTGAACTGCCAAGTGGGCGCTGGGAATCAAACCCAGGTTCTCTCGAAGAGCAACAAGTGTTCTTAACTGCTGCACCATTGCTCTAGTCCCCGTGGTTGGCCAACTAGAAGGTCTGATGTATGCAGAGTTGGAATGTTCCAGGTTCAAAGCCAAATTATCTTGAACTCCTGTTAGTCCTGAACAGTCACTGACGCCCACCTCTGTGTCTGACCTAGCCTCCACGTGACTTTTAGGCAGACCTCTGGCTCCCTCCAACCCAAAGGCTAAGAAAGTCCCCAGACAGCATCTGCAGCTGTAGCGAACTTCCCTGCTCTGCTGTAACCTCCTACCTGCAGTTTCCACCACTGTGTTTGAAATCGCCTTCACTTGGGACTCTGTTCTGTCATTTAAGAGCTTCATGAGACTGTTACCACTGTGGAATTTGGGAAACCATGGGCACTCACAATGGCTAAAGAACAAACTGTTAAACCCTCTGAGGTGAGGGCTGCGGGTTTTCTGTCTATTTTACATCAATGACAGTTTGACAGAAAATTCACAAGTTACTTCAAAACAATCAATGCAATTTAAATTCTTTCTCTAGACACTGTGAAAGCACACACGTGCACGTGGTGGTCAGAGAACTTGTGGGAGGAGCTGGTTCTCTCCTCCCACCACATGGCTCCCAGGACCTAACGCGGGCCATTAGACTTGGTGGCAGGTGCCCTTCTCTGCTGATCCAGCTCTCAGGCCCACCATCATGATTTTCAAATCTCTCCATGAATTACTACTTTTACAAGGAGCCTGCCATCAGTTTTCATTGACGTATATGGAAGTAGGCCAGGAAGCAACGAGGGACGCTGCTCCCTACACAGTCACAATTTGCATGTCTGGCATGCAAATTGAACTTTTAAATGTTTTGAACTTTGAACTTTTAAATGTTTTGCTTTTCCCAACCCCATGGTTCTAGGGCTTGAATTTAAGGTGACCCCATGTTCGGCAACTACCGCACTGCTGAATTACGGCCCCCACACTAGGTAAGCACCGAACCTCTGAATTAGACAGTCCACACGCTAGGCAAATACTTGCCACTGAATTACAGCCCCACACCTTTTGGGTTTTTGAGTGTCACTATGTAGCCAGGCTTACCTCAAGCTGGAGACCCTCCTGCCTCAGCCTCCCAAGTGCTGGGATTACGAGTGCCTACCAGAGCAGGTGAGGCCCTGCTTCTCCACCCTGCTTCCCAGTGGGCGGGGCCTTGGGGCCTCCACTCCTAACCTCTCTAGCTGAGCAGGGCTTCAAACAAGCCTAACTAGCCCGACCCTGCACCTCCCACATCAGCTTCCAGGTAGGTGGCCCTGAGGCCTCCAACAGGCTTCAGGGTCTCCGGGGCTGGTGGCCTTGGTCACGCCTTTATCACAGCAATTTAAAAGCAAGGAAGACACAGAGGCTGGCTTTGAACTTGTGATCTTCCTGCCTGCAACCCTTCAAGTGCTGAGGTTCCAGGCAGGTGCCACTGTACCTGTGACATAGGTGTTTTAGGGCCACGGGGTTCGGATGTAGAGGCTGAGGACCTTGTCCCTAGCAGACACTTACTCTCTCTCCAGCAGCTGCGCCTGCAGCGTCCTCCGCTCCCCCTTCAGGCTTGTCACGGTTCTTCGGAGTTGCTCCTGATCCTCCAACTGATCCCCTTTGGGCTGCTCCTCCTTGGGCTGGTCCTCTTTTGGCTGCTTTTGCACCATGTTGTTTGATGAAGAGTGGACCACGGGATTCGACTTGACCAGCTCTGGGGTAGCTGCCGTCTTCGGGCTTTCTGCAGAGCCCACTTTCTGCAGGCGATGAAGGTGTTTGTTAACATTTCCTCGGTCTGTGACCCAGGGCCAGCTGATCTCCATATAGGGGAAAAGCTCCACCGTGGGGGCTGGGTCAGCAGGGCTGCTACACTGCAAAGGTACCCTTCCCAGCAGCCAAACCCAAAAATGGGAGAGTGCTGGCTGGGCCCAGAGGCAAGATGTGGGCCAGAGCTACGGACACTATCCCACAACAGGAGATGGTGGGAAGGCAAGGAGGATGCAGACACTGAAACAGGGGACATTGTGCTTGACCTTCTGAAAGCTGACGCCCGTCTCCCTAGGCCTTTCCTCTGGGTCTCCAGATGTACCTGGGTTTCCTGTATGTCTCAGCACAATTTACTTATCAAGTATTTCCGAAACACAGAAACTTCTTTCGCTTTTTCCGCTGTTGGTATGTGAGTGTATTTAAAACATTCTCCCTTGGGCTTTGCATAGCTTTGCCAAACAACCGGGGACTCTGGTTCCTAAGTCATTTTCTTTCACTCCTGGGGATGCAACCCCCGCTGGGCAAGCCCTGTACTGAGTCACATCCCTGCCCTCACAGCAGCAGGTGCGTAGTGCTGAGCCACGCCCCCAGGCCCTCACTGGAGGAATCGACTTAGCCACACTCCCACCCCTCGTGGGGCATTCTAGGCAGCCAGGGAGCCACAGCCCTGGCCCTCAGTGTGGATTCTGGGCAGGTGCTCCATCACTGAGCAGCCCTTCCCCTGACCTAGGCCCAGGGAGGCGCTGTGTCACTAAGTTACATCTTTAGCACACTATCTCAAGACCCGACGGGACAGACAGGTCCCCCAGAATCAGCCGCCTCTGTGGAGTTGGTGTGGGGATGAGGAACTGCTGGCTAGCCTCCCGGGTTTGCTGCTCAGCCGTGTAGATGAAGAGACTGCTAAGAATCTGGGTATTAGGTAAGAGTGTGGCAGACGTGGGCCTGCACCAGTGCATGGGTGCCTCATGCGCTCACACGCCCACCTTCGGCTACAAGCCGCCCAGTCATGGCTTCTCTGTAAAACGAGGGCTGTGAGTGAGTCTCACGTCTTGCTCAGACCTGTGAGGAGTACAGTCTCTCCCTGTCTGTGGAGCCCCCTTACGTATGTGTTGAGTGACTTACGCACGCCCCAACGCTGTATCCCGAACTAACCTGGCCTGGGTAGATCCCGCGTGATCACAGAGCAGACCTGTCCGCACTCACCTTTTCTAGCTCTGCGATGCGTCTCAGCAGCCGGGGCTTGCTCCAATCTACATAACCTAAGGGGCGACAGGGTTTATGAGACAGAGCCCGCAGGCCCTGTCCTAGGACCACTCTTGTCAGGCATGGACTCAGCCTCCCCAAGCTGACAGGCAAGCCACAGGCCCCAGTGGGGCAGGAGCCTGCCACCTGAGGGTTTATCTCATGAGGACCAGGATGGCTTCGAACCAAGCAGGACCTTGAACTTCTGGTCTCTCTGCCTCCATCTCCTGTGTCCCGAGAGACACAGGCGCTATCGTGCCTGGCTTATGTTGTGATGGGGCTCGAACTCAGCGCTCCATGCATGCTAGGCAAGCAGTCTCCCAACTGAGCTACAGGCTCTGCCTGATGGATTTTACTTTGCTGGACTCCATACTCTGACCTGAGACACTCAAGACCTGGCTTTTACACTGTCTCTCTGGGCACTAGCTGGCCCTGACTAGCCAGCTCTGTAAAGGGCCCCAGGCTTAAGACTCAGCTGCTCTTCTCCAGGACCCACCTTGCCGGGCACCTTTACTTGATTCTGTCTCTGCCAGGGCCCAGCATAGCCAGTTTTCCAGCAGGGCTGGCACCCGCCTCGGATCTCAACCCCCCTCCTCCTGGAAATATCATCTGTCCCCTCGGCAGCATAGACAGCTCTGGGTGCTAGGGCCTGAGGTCCATCAGAAGTGGTTTGGCTCCTGGTCCACATTAGACCCGGGTTCCATCTGCAGGACTACAAACAAGAGGCCCAGAGCTTCCAGCCCTCCTGGCAATGCTTCCAGGCTCTTGGACTTCCCCGGACCAGTGTGGAGCACTGATTGGACTGACAACCGCTTCCGCACACATACGGGGATATGTCTGCTATGAGGTCTGGGACCTACGTCTCCATCTCAGAATGGCGTCTCTTTCCCATCTTTCACCATAGAACAAGCCATGACCTGTCTCCTCGTGTCTCCCTGTGTGAGGGGCTTGCGGACAGATACCCTTTATTTTGGAGACAGTAGGGGAATTGCTCAGCATGCGGTCCAGGTCCTCCTTCAAGCTCTGGTTCTCCTCTGTCAGTTCCTGCACGCTCCGAGTCAAGTTCAGCAGAGCGCTGCTCATCTTCTTCTGCCTCTTCACACCCAGCTTCTTATCAAGAATGGGCCTGGGGGTAAGTGAGAGTACAATTGAGGGTCACAGGGGTAATCGAGAGACAGGCTGAGGGTCACGTGGGTAAGAGAGAGACAGAATGGGGGTTAAGGGGGAGGGGTGATAAGGGAAAGAGATGAGGGTCAGGCTTCTAGACTGACAGCAATGTCTCAAACAGGAGCATGGCTTCTTACCGGGATCTGAGGTCAGAGTGGCTTACACACACGGGTATGAACACTCAGACAGGACACTAACTCTAACCCCAGATAGTGAAGCGCCGACTCCAGCGACACCATGGGTTCACGCCTTTATGCTTCTGACAAAGGGTTTCACACACCTAAGGTTAGCCTTGAAGTACGCAGTAGAGAATGCCCTTGAGCTTCTGATCCTTCTGCCTCTACCTTCCGAGTGCTGGCGTCACAGGTGTGCACCACCGTGGCTAGTGTAGGCCGTGCTGGGACACTACCCAATTCCTGAATGCCAGGCAAGAGCTCTACCAACTGTCAACACCCCCAACGCGCCCCACTTTTGAGACTGTGTCTCCATATGTATCCCAGGTTGTCCTGGAACTCAGGGTCCTCCTTGCCCACTTCCTGCATGTGGGAGAGATGTGGCTGTGTTACCAGGTCCACGTCTATTTTATTTTTTTTGTGCCAGTGTATAAAGTGGCCCTGGAATGGGTTGGGGGTGTAGCTCTGTTGGCAGAATTCTTATCTAGCATGTAGGAGGCCCTAGGTTCCTTTTCCAGGACTGCCACGTATTTATTTAAATACATTAGTAAATAAGGCACTAAAGTAAAAATGGTTCTACAGCATGGTGCCAAGCGCCCCCTAGTGTGCCCACGGCTGTGGCACAGCTCTGCTGGCCTCCGGGTCAATGCTAGTGAATCGCTGCATGCTATACCGAATCAATATTATATATTACATGTCTTTAAAGAGAAACACACACAAGACCAGCCTCACTTGATGCGAATGTGACCAGTGAGTCCAGGAACCCAGGCCTGAACCCACTGGCCCAGGAGCAATGGCTCAGTGTGTACTAGTTCTGTATCCCCGGAACATCACAGGATACTTACTTTCTGCAAATAACAGAACTGATCCCACTTCTCTGGTCTTCGTGTGCACAGCTGTGCACAGTGCGTGTTCACGTGTGCAGGAGTGCCAGGGCCAGAGGAGGGCGTCAGCTGTCCTGTTCTATCGCTCTCCACCACTCCCTGGAGCCAGGGTCTCTCCCTGGAGCCAATCTGGCAGCTGACCAGTCTCAGGGATCTCTCTACTGTGCAGGCCCCAGGTCCCCTGGACGCCCACGCCCAGAGCTGGGGTCACAGGTGCGCATGCAACCGTGCCTGGCTTTGTTTTGCACGGCAGACTTGCGTTTTACCACAGAGCTTCCTCTTCAGCCCTATCTGGCTCTTTAAGAGAATGATTTCCAGCTGTTGTCTGGAGTGACTTCGGGCGAAGGAGAAAAGGGGCAGCTACACCTGGTGCGGCCGTATACACAGAGCACTGTGGGCTGGACAGGCATATGCATGTCTACCAAACATACATAGATACACTTATATGTGTGTTTACACGTATATTCATATTTCTTTTATAAATATATTTTAACTATACCTAGTTGACTATAACTATATGCAGGCGCCGGTAAGGCCAGAGGCATCAGATCCCACCAGAGCTCATTACATGTGTGGTAAGCTGATTGACGTGGGTGCTAGGATTATTGGCATTTTGGCACTGTATTGTTTGGGAGAGGTAGGTGCAATCTACGCAGTAAAAACCTTAACTTGGGAAAAACAAAACAAAACAAAACAAAAAAAGGCAAACAACCTTTCTCAAACACGTAAAGTGTTTACGTGTTTAGGCATCTAAAAAAAGAAAACAAAAACAAAAAAAACAAACAACCTGTCTCAAACACATAAAGTGCAGCTGCTCTGAAAGCCAGCGCTCTCCAGTCCTAAGCTGGACGCTGCCATGGGCCCACTCTCCCGGAGCACGGTCGTGTGTGGTGTCAGCAGGCAGTTAGAATGAACGAGGCTGTAACAAGGCCAATGGAGATGACATCAGTGATCCCTTAAGGCGCGTGTGTGAAGGGCTCGGTGGAAAAGTGCTCACTATACAACCGTGAGGGCTGGAGAACCCCGGTAAAAAGCCAGGCCCCGACAGCGCATGCCTGTAATGCCAGGGCTGGGGACACAGACCGGACACCAGGGGCTCCAGGCTCAGGGAGAGAGTCCTCCAGAAAATGGGGTGGAGAGCTATCGATAAAGGAAGACCCCATGTTCACTGCTGGGCTCCGCATGTGCACGCATGCTCATATACACGTGAAGACGTACACACACATGTAACATAATCTCTGTGCAGTTCAGAGGAAGCACTGCACAGCTGCCAAGAAAAGAGAGAGCGAGACAGTGGCAGGTAAGGACCACCGGCTTTCAGTGGTGGCTTTCTCCTGCCTCAGACGCAGGAGACAGGCCCAGTGTGCTTACTTCTTTCCCATGGCTTCAGAGCTTGCCAGGAGGGTCTGCAGACGATGGATCTGTGAGGACCCAAAGACAAGGTGTCAGACACACAACAGAAGAGGACAGCCTTCCTGCCTCGACAGTCAGCTTCCAGTTCTGGCTTTGTGCAAGGAGAGAACACTACGCTGTGGCCGCACCACGCACTGAACCGAATGTAGGCACAGCTGCAGGTTTCGGATCACTGGCACCGGGCTCCTACCCACCCACAGGTAGCAGTCAGGGGCACACACCTCTTCGTAGTACGTCTCCATGGCGACACGCATCTCCTCCAGGTTGGTGGTCCTCATGTCGGTTTGTAGTTTGCTAGAAACCCAAGTTCAGAGTTAACAGGTTGAGACAGGTGGCAGGGAAAGAACAGCCTGGCATTGGCCCTGAACACACGAGTCCACGCTTCTAGAACGATCACATGAGACAGTGTCCTGGGTGGCACTAGCGGCGCCTCCAGGTGAGGCCACAGACCACTGGTGGCTTTTCTCTGGAGAAGGCTGCCCTGAAGCCCTAGGTGAGCGCCATCGGAGGCCCCTGCACCCCCCTCAGAGCAGAGCGGCTTCACAGAGAAGCGGAGTGGCAGGGGTGCTGACACTTGCACGCCACCCCAGCACTCGGGAGGCTGGCGCAGAAGCAGTGCTAATTCAAGCTCAGCCTGGGCTGCGCAGCAGGATGGAGAGAAATAAAGCAAACCCTTTGCTCCCCGCCATCGTCAGCACTGGCACCTTGCCCTCGATGCGTCCCAGGCTTCGGAAAGAAGGCACGGAGAGAGCAGAGCTCAGGGCACAGAACAGGAGTGCGCAGCCAGATTCAACGCTGCCACGTTCCATCAAGAAACAAACGAGGGCGCGAATGTTGCAGGGGTCAGGGTGAGGGTACAGACAGGTCGCTTGCGCTTCTGAGACTGACTTAACCGTCTCTAAGATTACCCCTTACTCTAGTAAGGCCAGAGGAAGCAGCAAGAAACGTGTGTGTGTGTGTGTGTGTGTGTGTGTGTGTGTGTGTGTGTGTGTG